ACGGCTGCCAGGCGAACTTTCTCCCAACTCCTCAGAAAAGAAACATTCAGGACAGCAGAGATAAGACTACTCAAAACGGGCAAACGCTAAGAAGATGCTTGGATATCAAGCTTCAGCTGGCGTTGGTGTTGGTCGCTCTTGACGTGTTACCTGAGCCAAATCTACACACAGCCCACTATTCCAGCCCTCACTTTTTGGGAGTGTGAAGAGCCTATTCTGCAGATCTTGCTCAAAAGTTGAAGCTAGAAGCAGAACTGCAGCAGTATACATGACAAACAAGTGGAGCGTCATTGCGAGGGGCTCAGCACACAGGGCACAAGCAGGACACTTCACCCTTTATGTATAGTATACACATGTGCTCCAGTCTGGCAATCTTGGCCTTCAAAGCCACTGGAGAAGGCACATCGTCGGTCAAAGATTCCACTGATGAGCAACCTGCTCGGCCTCACGGAAAAGTCAATAAAACGAATGCAAACAGCTTGGGCTCAAGACAGGTACCTCAACGGCAGTAGCACCGGAACATCCAAATAATAAGTAAGGCTTCAAGTCGTACCGACCAACAGGAAAAACGAACGTTGAAAAAAATGATCGAACCATAAACTGCTACGATCAGCAGCACATGACGGCCAAAAACGCAAATGTAAACTTTGCCAAGGGTAACCAATCTGACAAAAGGACCCAGCTTCCACACAAACAAAGAGGTGTCCACTAGAACTTAGTTTAGAAATTTTGACTGCCTGCCTAGCCTGAGCAACAAATAATTAGAAGAGTGATGATTCCGTCAAAAATAACAGGGCTTAAGCAAAATCACTTGTGATGGTGCCTCTGTTGCCAGCCACAGGTTGAGGTGGCACAGCCTGCAGCATGTTCAATTGAACCCGAGCATCTTGGATGTGCAAGTGGGCCGGTATTCCAAAACCGACTTACCAGGCACACAACTGGAAGTCAAATAGCCCAGGTCTATTGCCTTGGCTCCGTTCAGCCTCAATTTGTCTCATTCATGGGCCAAGTTTAGGCAAGGAGTCTCGCAAGCTACTCTCTTTTTAAGACATGTTGGACAATGTCTTGTGCGTGTGTAGAAACAAGAATGCTTCGATGATGATGCTTTGATTGATTCGACCTACAGTTGTCCCACGGGATAGGGGGCACCTGGAGGTGTTTGACAAAATGTTGTCTCAAGAATATCCAAAAATCCCTTTCAGTTTCACATTTATAAACACAGTATACTACAGTATTTAGATATATATATATATACAATATATACATATATAGTATACATACTGTGTATATATACATAGACGGTGTCCTGTATGCTATCACCGCTCTAGGCATCTGTGTGAGGGTCAAACCCTGGCTGGTTGACAACCCAAATGAAAAGAATATTATTTGAGGGGTATCAACCATGGAGATTGCAGCCATCCAGACTATAGATGTCTGACCATGATCGACTTCAGGACACGATTCTTGTGTTCTGCCCACACCCCTCACCAACAGGTGGTGTCTCAAATGATGTCAAATGCATGAGCACGAGACTTCAAGAGAACTGGCATGTCCCAGCTCCGAACGTCCTTCTTCACAGATTTGTCGACGCTCACGTCACCAGCAATTGGAGCCCCGACCACGGCCAAGCGCTCTGGTGGATGATCGAAGCCTGCACAGCCGCCCGAAGCACACTCGAGGAAGCTAGAGGTCCCAAAGTCGCCTTCATGTCGTTTACCCTAGTAGCGTCCTTGCTCCTAGTAGCGAACATTGCTCCTAGTAGTAAGGCCAGGAGCCCCTAGTAGCGTCCTTGCTCCTAGTAGTAAGGCCAGGAGCCCCTAGTAGCATCCTTGCTCCTAGTAGTAAGGCCAGGAGCGCCTAGTAGCGTCCTCGCTCCTAGTAGTAAGGCCAGGAGCCCCTAGTAGCTTCTTGTTACTAGTAGCGTCCTTGCTCTTAGTAGTAAGGCCAGGAGCCGCTAGTAGCGTCCTTGCTCCATAGGCTTACGCCTCAAGATTCAGAACATACAGCATGGAATTCTGGCCTGTCGAACCTATTTCCTCCTGAATATCTTCTGGCGTCTCTTGTGGGATTTCTTCCTCGGGCGCTTCTTGTTGGATGTCTTCCTGAGGCAATGTCCAGGAGACAGGCAAAGCTTGTATGTTACGCAAAATCTCAGCCTGAACACGTGTTGCTCTTGTTTACATGACCGCAGTTGCAGTATTGCCTCTGTTTCCGCAATAGCGCTGCTGACGATTTTGAAAAGCGTCCAAAGACCACATGGGTTACAAGTAGTCTCATTTGAGTATGCATACTAAGGGTTGAAGGGCATGTTACATTGTATGACAAATGTTCTCTCTAGGTCTGTCATTGTCGGGTGCTACAGCTAGTCTAGACCTGTGCTCTTGCATACTTGCCAGCAGTGACCAGCAGCAAACTATGACAAACAAAGCGATATGACTTGACCAACAAAACCCACAAGTGCCACATTCTTTAGAGACCTGTGGCACTTGTGGCTTGGAGCACTGCCCTTTCGCCAGGTCTTCGCCAGGGCTCGAAGTAAGCCGTCCGTCGCGCCACCTTGCGGTGCAAACGAAGGCCAGGCATTGTCAATCTGTGCCTTGTGACCTTTTCAATCCTTGTGGCTCTCAGCTGAAGGGGCATTCTTCGGCTCTTCCCGCTCTTCCGGGCATAGCAAAGTATTCCGCATGCCGCATACAATTGCAAGTGTTTAAATCATGGTTCGTGTTACCGCACAGACCCAAAACTATATCGATAATTAGAGATGTAAGGCCTAGAGGACGTGAACACACACTTACATCTCCCACCTGGACATCGGATGCCTTGCGCTGCTATGCCTTGCATGCACACCTTTGCTAACCTGTTGAGACCAGTCTTCGAGACAAGACCGAAGCACTTCCTTGCGCCGTTGCCGCTGGCGCCAGCAGCTCTGGAGAGTGCGAGAGGCTGCATGTTGCTTGCGAAGCTGAACCTGAAGAAATGTGTCGAACAGAATCGTTCCACCATTAATTCTCTTTGAATCCTTTCTTCCGGAACCTAATAGGTGGGAGCCCATCG